TCTCTCCTCCAACACACCTCCAGATGACAGGCTGTTTATCAACATTCTGAGGCTGACTGATATATACCCTGCTGATGTTGTGTTCACCCTCCTGCGCTGTGCCCCATCGTGTGACAGGTACAGGGCCCCGGGGCCTTCAGGGCTTGGGGCTTAGCAGCCTTTAGAGCCCATCACCCCGTCCATCCCGTCCCATGTGGTCTGCCAGAGGGACAGTGAGTTCCAGGACCCCCTGGCCCCTCTGTTTCCCAGCCCTGCCATGTCAGCCCCAATCCTGCTGCCATGGTCCCTCCCTGATCCTCAAGGCACTTTGGCCAGCACCTCCCTGACACAGAACTCTGGCCCCGCAGAGCTGCTGCAAGCATGTGGAAAACCATCGCCTCATCGGGAACGACAATGGAGAAGGTGCTGCCAAAGCTGCTCTGCGTGATGGAGGACTGGCCACTGCACAGCACGTTCACCTTGGACGGGGACAAAACAGATGTCTTTGCCCTGGCTGTGAGTTTCTGGAACTGGCCTTTGCTCAGCCCCAGATTGCCTCTCTGGTGGCTCTCCATCCTCCCCCACCACCACATCTCCTTGCCTCAGGCACTGGGCTGGAAATGTGGTTAGGGGCAGGTACAAGGGCAGCAGGTCGGGTGCTCCCCCTGCGTCTCCCCTGGCCTTCCCCTCCCCCACTTGGGCCCTGGCGCATGGATGTCTGGGCACTGAGCGCTGTCTTCGGCTGGTTTTCCTTTTTGCAGGCAACCAGGGCGATTTGGGAGATTCTCCGCCTGCCCTGGTGCCCAGAGCCACTGATGAAATATTCCCCTCCCCTCCTTATGCATCTGCTCTTCCAAGTCTTCATCAGCACAAAGCAGATGCCGGAGGAGGTCAACGCCTTCTGGAGGGGATGCCGGGAGAAACGCGGCCTTCCCGCCAACCCCAACAGGTGCTCCATCCCAGTCCTCCCATCCCTGTCATGTGCCAGGGGCTGGGGCCAGAGCTCTCAACACGACCTGGGCTTTGTTCTGCACACAGGTTTGCAGTGCAGACTGTGAGGGCACTGCTTCGCCGTCTGCGGTGTCTACATTTGGTGATGGCAATGGAGCGCAAGTGTGGCTGGGACACACTCCTCAACTTTGACACCCACCACTACGCAGTGGGTCTGCTGGCCAGGTGAGACCCTCTTGTCCCCGCTGCCCCTGTCATTTCTGCCCTCTGCACGGGGCACCCCACGCAGTGCCCGTGGTGGTGGGCCAGAGGGCCTTGTCACCCAGGGATGGCCGAGCAGAGTGGCAAAGGCTGGGAGAGGCGGGTGCACAGGAGGAGGTGCCTCCCAGAGTGCCCTCGTCCCCTGCCGGGGTGCTGGGGAAAGACCAGGCCTCCGGGAGACCGTCCGAGGAGAGGTTTGCCCACCCAGCTCAGGGTTGATGGTGCCTATTTCCCCCTGCCAGGGAGATGCGCCGTGCCTCGAGCCCCTTGTGTTCCCCGGTTGCCCTCTGCCTGCTGGGGCTGCTCATCACAGAGAAGCCACGCTGGGAGCTTCCTGCCATGGCATTCTTTGTGGAGGTGAGCCTGATGGCGAGCGCTGCCTTGCTGACCTGCCTCCACCTCTCTGCCCTCTCGCAGCCGCAGCTGCCCGGGACGGTGCCGCGCCCTGTGCTGCTGCCTGGGCCCAGCCCGGTGCGGCTCTGGGCTCCTGCTGGCCGGGCACCCCGTCACTGCTCCCTGCCTTTCAGGTCCTGGACTGCCTGGACATGACTGACTGTGGTGAAAGCATCCTGGAGATCCTTTCAAGGCACCTACAGAGCGAATGCAAAGAGAGACATCGCCTGGCGCTCAGAGGCCTCGTGGTACTGAGCAAGGATCCCACAATGGTGAGAAGGGGGCAGGGGCTGAAGCCATGCTGGAATCCTGGGGCTGGGGAGTGCAGTCACTTGGGCTTGACTGGGCTTCGGTGGCTGTGGCAGATCCTCCCAGCTCTGCTGCCTCCCCGCTCAGCTGCCCGACTCCCTTGGGACAGGCCTTTGGCCTCTGGGCCCCGCGGCAGCAGGTGGGGCTGCCCCACCAGAGCGGGGTTGGCGCTGCAGCCCTTCGTGGCTTCACAGCACAGCCTTGTGTTCCTCACAGGCCAAAAGAATGTGCAGCCTCTCCGAAAGCCTGGTGGAGCTACTGCAGGATGCAGATGTAGAGTTGGTTGGGATGGCCTTGCTGATGTTCATGAATATGCTGCAGAACAAAGACATCCTAATCTCCAGGCCCACTGCCCCGAAGCTGGCTGAGGCGCTCCGGCCACTCTTTGACAGTGTAAGTCTCTGTGCTCCCAGCCAGGGGTGCCGGGTGCTGCAAGGAAACTTTGGGCCTTGTGGATTTTCAGGCCTGGGTCCAGGTGGGCCTGGAGCAGCTGGTGCTGAGGTCTTTTCCTCTTCCTTTCCATTAGGACAACAGCCATGTGCAAGTCCTCTCCATTCGCCTCTTCCAAAAGGTGATGGAGTTGGTAGTGGCTGAGGGAAAGAAGCCCCTGGAGAGATATGTGAGGCAGAGCCTTCTCCCGCTCTTTTTGCACTGGCATGAGGAGAAACAGGGACTGGCAAAGGTGAGGACTTTCTGGACTCTGGTGTCACTGTGGAAGGTGGCTGGGCTGCCTCCTGCCCTGGCACCTCAAAGGCTCCAGCCTCCTCCTGGCCTTGGTCCAGGGACACAGGTCCTGTGCCCTGGGCTGCGGTGCCATCTCCTGGACTCTGTTGCTCTGCAGGCCTCTCGGGAAGCGCTGCTTAGTGCAGCCAAGTTTCTGAAGAGGAGGGATCTCAATCAGCTGCTGAAGAAGGAACAGCCATTGAAATTTAGTGAGCGCCTGGTAAGGATGGCCCGGAAGCCCCAGTCCCTGATGAGGCCAGTGCTGGGCGCAGGCAGCTCCCGGCCAAGGGGCAGAGCCCCAGCCAACCCTTCCCTCTGTGCCCTGCCTCTCTCTCCAGCTGGAAAAGGACCGGAACCGAGTGGCCGAGTACCTGTACCAGGCCCTGCCCTACCTGGACAGCCCTCAGGAGCCCCTGCAAGAGGCGGCCGTCAAGTTCATTGGTGAGCCACAAGTTCCCTCCCTGTCCTGCTGCAGCTCAGCCCCAGTCCCGGCTGCCACAGCGGCAGCAGGATGCGGCCCCGGGATGTGCTGTGGAGCCCCGAGTGCCCTGGCGGCTGCTGCCGCCCTGTGCCAGCCCAGCCCTGGGGCGTCCCAAGGCGGGAAGGCCCCGGGCTCCGCCCTGCCAGGGCAGGAGGGCGTGTGGCCGGGCCGGCAGCGCTGCCGGGGGGGAGCTGTGCCGCTGGGGCCCTGACAGGATCTGTGTTCCCAGGGGTCGCCGGGGGGGTACCTGAGGGGACAACCCGAAGAGCTGCAGGTCATCTGCGAGGGTGAGTGAGGGCAGTGGGGTGTCAGTGGGGGCTGGTGGAGGAGCACGGAGCCTGGGCAGGGAGCTGCAGTCCTGCCCCGGCTGTGGAGGGCTCTGCTCCCTGCATGAACAGAGCAGAGAGAGATTTCAGGGGAATGGGGGGTTTTGGTGGCCAGCACCTTCCGGCTGATCCTGTTGGACCCTGCTCCCTCCTGGCCACAGCAAGAGCTGGGTGAGATGGCCTTGGCTGGAGGGGCTTCTCGGGTCCCCACCCATCCGGGCTCTGACCTTGGCTCTGTTCCTCTCTGTGCCAGCCCTTCAAGCCATGAGAAAAGATGACTGCCCCTCCTACACAAGCGTGATGGTTCAAGCCCTCCTTGACCAGAGAGCTGCAGTATTAAATTCATCTTCTGCATCGAGACAAGCGGTGTCCCTAGAAAAGCACCAGATACCACGCAACCGGAGACCACCTGGAGACCAGGGGAAACCATCTGGAGCTCCAGACACTGATGCCAAGCCCAACTGAGCCTGCCAGGAAGGCCTTGTGGCTCCTGGCCCATCCTTCCCTCTTGACCCGTCCCTGCCTCCATACTGCTCCATCCCTTTAGCCTTCAGACCCAGTCCGTTCCCTTCTCCTGCTCCCAGCTCATCCCTCCTCTTCCCCTTCCCTTAATAAACAGTTGGGTTTCTCCCCCCTATCTGCATCTTTGTGGAACTGAAACGGGACAAAACCTGAGCCCTGGAGCACATGGGGCCTTTCTTTTGCCCCTTGTGCCATGTGCAGAGACAGAGAGGGACAAGGGCAGCTCAGGCTGGAAAGGTCCCTGTCCTGAAGGTGCAGTTCCAGAACATTGGGGAGTTAAAGATCTTGCTGGGCACACTGAAGGCCAGTGGTGGGACAAAGAGCCTGAATATTAGTAGAGCCAACTTCAGTCTGCTCTGAACCCAGCTATGAGGGATTCCATGGGAAGCATCCATGGAGGGCAAAGGAGCTTGGAATACTGGAAGTTACTCAAGAATAGCTTCCTGAAAGCACAGCTGTCTCAGTTTGAAGAGACTGGAATGTTTGCTAAGGAGGATGAGTTATGAGATAGACCTCTCTCTCAGCAATTGTAAATCCGAAATTAAGGGGCTCTAATCGAGGAAGTATGGAAAAAGGAAGAAATAACAATCCTTTATTAAAAGATATATGTATGTTGGCAAAGATAGTAACAGAACACAAAAACAACTAGACAATAGTCCTGTACCCAAAACTCCCCTTCAAAAAAAAGAAACAGTCTGAATACTTCTCTGTCCTTTAGCGCGGTTCTAATCGCGGTCGGCGGGGGCGCTGTTGGATCGCTGGAGGTGCAGGGCCTGCAGTGCTCAGTGTTGGCCTGCAGGGGGCGCTGTTGGGCTCTGGTGGTCGCCGCATGGGGGGCCTGGGGGGGGAGTCTCAGATCGCGGGAGAAGCTGAAAAAAAAAGGGGTCCTCCCCCAATGGAAGAAGGGGAAAAGAAAAAAAAAACAGTCCACCCCCACGGAACTCACCGTTGTCCTTGGCTGACGGTGTTTCAAGGCTCCTCCATTTCTCCCAATGAGCACAAAACTCTCCGATGAAATCGCAGCAGGATCAGGCTGGAGGCAAGGGCAACGTGCCAGCAAGCCGAGGCGAGTGGTCAGGAATGACCAGGTTGAGACCAAGAAAAACTGGCCTCAAGGTTTTTTTTCCAAAATGCACACACAGACTCTGTCTTTGTTTGAGAGAGAAACCCAAACTGTTCTCCCCTTTGTGAGGAGGGCAGCAACAGAGCAAAACTCCTCCCCCCTCACTGTAGTCTCAGAAATGGGGTATTAACTGGGAATGCAGTACTGCGACCTAGATCCTTTGTAAAGCTAATGACCCCCTCCCCCTTCCCATTCAAACTCCATCTTTCTTAGAGTGGGGCAGGGGAAGAAAAATTCCCCCTTGGATTTTATAACCTATGACAACAGCAGTGGTCCATCCCTACAAGGGGGAAAGAAGAAGGCAGAAGCAGAGACCACCCTGGCTTAAGAGTGAGTTTTGGGTGTGCTTGAAAGCAAAGGAAGAAGCAGCACACTGCCTGAGACACAGACACGTGTCCATCACAGCGTAGGGAGCGCTGCCAGGCAGTGCCTGGGTACCGTGCCCAGGTCTGGTCCCCATAGTTCCAGTATTGCAGCCCCTGCATCAGATACAGTCAGAAATCAAACCAAAGGAGACCAGAGGGAGGGAACCGTTCCAGTCTGTCTCGGACATTGCTGCAGAACAGCCACCGCTTCTTGCTCCGCCTGGATCTGGGCTTTGCTGACCCCAGAGCCAGCCAGGTTGTGCTCTGGTGCCCAGAGACTGTTCAGAGAGGGCAGGAAAAATGCTCCGTGCACAGTAGAGAGTCCTGGACTGTGGAGGAACCAGAATCAGATTGGGAACGGTTCCAGGCATGGAGGAAGATATACAACAATTGAAAAAGGACGTCACTATATGGACTTTACAGTTTTTTATGTGGTTTCAAACATGTTCAATGTATGTTACCCATATAGTTGTATTGCCTGGGCATGTCCAGGCTTGCCCTGAGTAGTTTGTCCCCTGCGTTCCCTGCTCCTCCCTCTGATTGGCTGGAATATGCCGCAGTGTGGAGAGAGCTCCCATTGGCCCTTGACTTTCCCAACTCCTCCTAATTTCCCCCCTCTTCTCCGAGGTTCTTACCCTCATTTGTTCCCCTGGTTGTCTATCCCATGCTCCACCCAGTTTTCTAGCCCTTTCCATCTGAACCCTATATAAACCCACACAGACCTTTAATAAAGAGCTATTGCACCCGACCTTCTACCTCGAGTTGAACCCTTTCAGTGTCGTGGTCCCATTCCTTCCCTGCCAGACCATGGCAGTGGACGTTGCTTACAAGAGCATCCTGCGGGAACAGGGATCTGGTGTCTCGCTGAGAACACTCAGGGGTTGCTGCTGGGCCTGGAGGCAGGAGTTCAGGGCTGTGAAGATCCTAAAGCAGCCAGGCTGTGCCTGCAGAGGGCCTGGGGCTGGGAGTGTGAACCTACATCTGGAAACACACTTGGAGCAATAGGAGCTGGAGCGGCTGTTCTTCAAGGAGCAGAAGGAATTCAGCCTTGCCAGGGTTTCTTAAGTTTGTGTTGGTGTTCCCCAAGAAAGCAACAGGTTTGAGTAATTGCCTGTGGAAGCAAGGGGCTTGTTCCTCAAAGAAAGTGCTTCCCAAAGAGTTCCCTGGGAGGTTGATCCAAAAGTGTCCCTTTGGCTCTCCGTGTCCTTTCACTCCCTGTGGCCCGTTGCACTTAGTTGAGGGGCAGGGGAAGAGGGAAGGCTGTGAAGAGCAGGTTTGGGTTCTGCCTGCGGAGACCAAGCCAGGCAGCCGCCAGCAGGCTCTGTTAGCCACCTTTCAGCAGAGGTCTGAGCAGGAGCATCTCTGTGCAGCTGAGAGCCCCAAAGCTGTCAGTGAGAGCTGTGAATTCAAAGGTCTTTATCCACAGCCTTGTGCCATCTTACCTATCTGAGCTTTTGAATTCCCAGAAATGTGCCTTTGCCTCTTGCTTAGTGGAAGCTGCTCTGGGCCAGGGCCAGCACAGAGCTGGGTGCGTGGGCCAGGTGTGGTGGAGAGTCCTTCTCTCTGATCTTGGTGTGTCCCCAGCCTCAGGAAAGGGTTGGAAGGTTTGTCTGCCAAAGCATCCTGCTCATTGGCTCGTCCTGTGCATCCTGGAGAGATCCAGGTGGGCCTTGTTGGCAGCTGGGCATTAGCAGACCTTAAATTGGGGGCAAACTCAGCTGAGATACCCTGGGAGGTGCTGTGTGCTCCTCTCTGCTGACACAGGAGGGTTTGTCTGGTTTGGGGGTGACCCTGGGGGTGTGAGGGGGTGCCAGGTGTACACAGGCCAGCCAGTCCTGTCTCCCTAGGTCCGTGCAGTGCCCCTCAGCAATCCTGCCTCCGCGTGTGGATGCTGGCCAAGGCTGGGCTGCAAGTGAGGCAGCTGGTTGTAAGCTTGCCTGGAGCTCCATGTCAAGCTGTCATGGGTTTATGTGGCTGGGTTTTGGCAGTGAGGGAGCTAAAGGAGTGCCTTCTATTAGAAGCTGCTAGAAGCTTCCCCTGTCCCATGGAGCCAATAATAGCCGGCTCCAGGAGGGACTTCCTGCTGCTGGCCAAGGGGGAGACAATTAGAAGCAATAGTAACGCCTCTGTGATAACATATTTAAGAACAAGGTTGTTGCACGGAAGAAATTCCAGCCAAGGGAGTTGCCAACCAAAGCCTGTAGATGGCCCTCGCTGCCTCTCCCACCGTGGGAGGGGGCGGCAGCCGTGTCCCGGCCCCGCGGCTCCTGGCCCGGGGCAGGCGTGGCTCTGGGTGTGGCCGGGCCGAGGGGCGCAGGGGGCACCCCGCAGGTGAGGCCAGGGCAGCAGAGAGACCCTGCCAGTGGGTACTGCCCTCCCTTCCATCCTGGCTGAGCTGGGCCGGGCTGGGCTGGGGTGGCCCCGCCGCGGTGCAGCCCATGGAGGACCATCGGGGTGCAGAGACTCCCCTGCAGCCCATGGAGGAGCTCATGCTGGAGCAGGTGGATGCAGGATGCCTCCCCATGGGAGGCCCAGGATGGCACGGGGTCCTGCAGGAGACCTGTGGCCCGTGGAGAGGGAAGCTCATGCCGGAGCAGGTTATTCCTGAGTAGGACTTGCGGCCCCAGTGGGGGACCCACATCGGTACAGCTCATTTATGAAGGACTGCACCCCAGGAAGGAGTGACCCTCGGGACAGCAGATTGGGAAGAACTGCTGTCCAAGGGGTGGACTCACATTGCAGAGGTCCATCAAGGACTATCTCCTGTGGGAGGGACCCCACGGGAGCAGGGAAGGACTCAGGGCTGTGTCCCCCCTGTAGCCTGTGGTACAGATCATGGTGAAACAGGCTGTCCCCCTGCAACCCATGAAGGACCATCGGGGTGCAGAGATCTCTCTGCACCCCATGGAGGAGTGACCCATGGGATAGCAGATTGGGAAGAACTGCTGCCCGAGGGGTGGACTCACATTGGAGAAATCCATCAAGGACTGTCTCCTGTGGGAGACAACTGACCTCAACCCCCATTCCCTGTCTCCCAGCATCACTGCGGAGGGAGGAGGGAGAACATGAAAGGAAGGAGGGGTGGGGGAGAAAGTATTTTTAAGACTGTTTTATTTCTCACTTTTTGGCTCTTAACCTGTTAGTAATAAATTTTAGTACTCTTTTCCCCACTTTGAGTCTCTTTTCCCTGTGAAGGTAATCAGTAAGTGACCTCTCCCAGCTCTTATCTCTACTCATGAATCCTTAGTTGTTTTTTTCTCTCTCTTCTCTGTCTAGCTGCAGAGGGAGAGTGAGCGAGCAACTTTAGTGGCCAGGGTCAACCCACAGCGCAAGCACAAGGGTGTTCCTTCAGGACATAGCCGTGCTGAGGGGTCTCCCCTAAGCTGACAGATGCTTCCCACCTCTTGTGGCGCAAGTTGCTTTCCTGTGGAGTGTTCTCCATTACCAGAGAGTAATGAGGGAACCGGAGAAAGAGCTTGGCAAGCTGCTTTGGATCATTGACCAGCACTCCTGGTTAAGTGGAGAGACTTGCCAGTTGCCTGGAAATGAGCAAATGGAAGGCTCTCGTGCCAGAAGGGTGGGAAGGATGATGTGGGGAACTACGGGCCTGGCAGCCTGCCCTTGGTA